TCCCAGGTGCGTGGTCTCAACCTGAAGAGGACGGAGTCCGGGGACAAGGCCGGAGCGCTTATCCTCGACCAATATGGGGTCCCAGGCGCGTGGTCCCTGCAGAAGACGGAGGCCGGGACGAGGCCGGAGAATTTATCCTCAAGCAATATGGGGCCCCAGGTGCGTGGTATCAACCTGAAGAAGACGGAGGCCGCGACAAGGACGGAATGCTTATCCTCAACCAACATGGGGTCCCGGGTGTGGTCTCAACCGCAAGAACAAGGAGGCCGGGACAAGGCCGAAGGGCTTATCCTCAAGCAATATGGGATTGCAGGTGCGTGGTCTCAACCTGGAGAAGACGGAGGCGGGGACAAGGCCGGAGGGTCGGAGGGCTTATCCTCAAGCAATATGTAGTAGCAGGTGCGTGGTGTTAACCTGAAGAGGACGGACACAGGGACAAGGCCGGAAGGCTTATCCTCAAGCATTCTGGGGTCCCAGGTGCGTGGTCCAGGCCGGGACACGGCCGGCGGGCTTATCCTCAACCAATATGGGGTCCCAGGTGCGTGGTCTCAATCTGAAGAGGGCGGATACAGAGACAAGGCCGGAGGGCTTATACTCAAGCAATATGGGGTCCCAGGTGCGTGGTCCCAACCTGGAGAAAACAGAGAGGCCGGGACAAGGCCGAAGGGCTTATCCACAACCAATATCGGGTCCCAGGTGCGTGGTCTCAACCTGGGGGAGACGGAGGCCGGGACGAGACTGGAGGGCTTATCCACAACCAATATGGGGTCCCAGGTGCGTGGTCTCAATCTGAAGAGGGCGGATACGGAGACAAGGCCGGAGGGCTTATCCTCAAGCAATATGGGGTCCCAGGTGCGTGGTCCCAACCTGGAGAAAACAGAGAGGCCGGGACAAGGCCGAAGGGCTTATCCTCAACCAATATGGGGTCCCAGGTGTGGTCTCAACCTCAGGAGGACGGGCTTATCCTCAAGCAATATGGGATTGCAGGTGCGTGGCGTCACCTGGAAAAGACAGAGGCACGGGCGAGGTCGGAGGGCTTATCCTCAACCAATATGGGGTCCCGGGTGCGTCAAGGCCGAAGGGCTTATCCTCAGCCAATATGGGGTCCCAGGTGTGGTCTCAACCTCAGGAAGACGGGCTTATCCTCAGCAGGTGCGTGGCGTCACCTGGAAAAGACAGAGGCACGGGCGAGGTCGAAGGGCTTATCCACAACCAATATGGGGTCCCGGGTGCGTCCCAACCCGAGGCCAGAGCGCATATCCTCAAGCAATATGGGGTCCCAGGTGTGGTCTCAAACTCAAGAAGACGGAGGCGGGGACAAGGCCGGGACAAGGCCGGAGAGCTTATCCTCGACCAATATGGGGTCCCAGGTGTGGTCTCAACCTCAGGAAGACGGGCTTATCCTCAAGCAATATGGGGTTGCAGGTGCGTGGCGTCACCTGGAAAAGACAGAGGCACGGGCGAGGTCGGAGGGCTTATCCTCAACCAATATGGGGTCCCGGGTGCGTCTCAACCCGAGGCCAGAGCGCATATCCTCAAGCAATATGGGGTCCCAGGTGTGGTCTCAAACTCAAGAAGACGGAGGCGGGGACAAGGCCGGGACAAGGCCGGAGAGCTTATCCTCAACCAATATGGGGTCCCAGGTGTGGTCTCAACCTCATGAAGACGGGCTTATCCTCAAGCAATATGGGGTCCCAGGTGCGTGGTCTCAACCTGGAGAAGACGGAGGCCGGGACAAGGCCGGAGGGCTTATCCTCAACCGATATGGGGTCCCAGGTGCGTGGTCTCAACCTGGAGAAGACGGAGGCCGGGACGAGACTGGAGGGCTTATCCACAACCAATATGGGGTCCCAGGTGCGTGGTCTCAATCTGAAGAGGGCGGATACGGAGACGAGGCCGGAGGGCTTTTACTCAAGCAATATGGGGTCCCAGGTGCGTGGTCCCAACCTGGAGAAAACAGAGAGGCCGGGACAGGGCCGGAGGGCTTATCGGTCGGCAGGCCCGCTGCGACGCTTATCCCGAATGGAGGTCGGGAAGCGCAGCCGCCACGCTTATCCTCGAGCTGGATGGGGGTCGGCGAGGCATGCCCAAATCCACCACTTGTGGAGTTGAGAGGTCAGACTCGCGGACCAGCAGAACAGTGCAATGAGGAGGGAAGGGGGATCCGAACAGCACGAGCCCACGAGCACTTGGCACCGCGCGAGCGAAAACCCAAAAGAACCCTTGACTGCCACAGATAGGCTCAATGTGTGCGCGCACGTGTGGCCATGATTCTGCTGCAGATCTGGCTTCTCAAACTTTGAGGTAGAACTTCTGAGTGCTGCCATGACCGGTGGTTATCGTGTCAACAGCGACGTGGAGGTGGTGCCAGCTGTAAACTTCGAGGACGATGTGAACCTGCTGCGACGCGCCCTCCTGGAGGCGCGGGAGCTCTTGCTGACAGGCGGCTGCACAGAAGTGCATTTCAAAGTTTGGCGGAGCGACCGCCCTGCAGCTTTGACACTGCTGTGCGCCAAAGCTTGCCAGCTGCACGAGGGGTGCATGGAAGCCTACCTGCACCACCACGACGGCGGAGAAGAATACGGGGTACTGCAGCCGGCAGGCACCGGATGCACAGGCCCTCTGTTCGCCTTCCGGTGCAAGGAGCAGAACCACGTGTCCGCCCCACACCGCCGCCTCCATCGTCCCCATCTGATGCAGTTCTACACGAACGACGTCGTCGAATGGGTTGATCGCCACGGCGAACGCGAACGCTTTCGTGTCACCGAGGTGCTTTTGGAATGCGCAATGCGTTGACTTCTCCGACTCCTCGCTCGCAAGAGCAAAACAGAGGATGCGTTGGACTCGGTCGCATGTGCGGGGTTGCTTATCCCGAAACTGCTTGCGGTGCAGCCGGCATGCTTATGAAAGGACCCAATGTAGCCAGGCTCGATCGTTTTCAACCTGTAGTACAGAGTAGGAGTCCAAAGCGACCGCTACGCTTATCCTCCTCTAATATGGGGTTCCAGGTACGCATCTGAGACGGGGACGAGGGCGAAGAGCATGCATGCAGAAATGTTCGCTTATGCTCAACCAATATGGAGTCCCAGGTGCACGTCCTCAACCCGAAGAAAGACGGAGATGGGGACGAGGCCGGTGAACTACTTGCATGCAGAAGTGGTTCGCTTTCGCCCGCGACGTGAATGGGAGTCGGGCACACTTGTGGAGTTGAAAGGTCAGGTGCAATGAGAAGAGACTGAGGATCCTAACAGCACGAGCCAACGAGCACTCGGCACCGCGCGAGCGAAAACCCAAAAGAACGCCGGACCGCCACTGCTAGGCTCGATGTGTGCATACCATTGCAACAGCATTAATCTCATGGAACCCCGGAGCTTCATCTCGGCTGTGCACAGCACTCACAGGTCTCCAAACCCCGCAACCCAAGCACGTACCGTGCTAACCCACCGCGATGGCTGGCATCCTGTTCTTCAAGTGGACGCTCCTGTACGAGCACATTTCAGGCAGCGAGAAAGCAACGAAGGGCAACTGCGTGCAAGAGTCTGTGCCGAGCAGGCACCGATGGTCGCGCCGGCCTCGGGACAACTTTCACTCTCGGCGCCAGAGCAACGTCCGCCCGCACATTAACAGACTTCGACCTAGGTGTACACCGCAAGAACGAGGTTCTGTACTTGTATGCGATCTTCGGTCCCCGGACTTCATGCAGGCAGGGATGTCTGGATTTGGCCGAGAAAGAGTGAAATGCAGTTGCAGTTGATGCAGGCGTGTGGTCTTCGCAACGCCCGGGCATCAGATGTCCGATCAACACGGCAGCTGGGAGATGAAACCGGTAGCCAACTTCACTGTGCTCGAAACGAGCTTTAACTGTCGGGGCTCTCGCGCCCACAATGTTTGGCTGGCATTGACGGCAGGCGGGTGTGCACGTTTTCACGTCAGCAACATGGCATCAGTTCAATTGACATACCGAGTGCAGCCACCAGGACCGGAAGGCGTCTTCTTTGGTCCACATCGCAACGGCCGAGACTATGTGCTCGCGACAACCGTGTCCATCGACTGGTACGGCATACCCGTGGCCCCGACGCTTGGAGATGAACCGGCGCCGTAGCGAGATGCGCAGAGCGAAGAGGGTCCGATGCCGGCAACAAACCGTTTGCGCTCATGCCAGTCCTGCCTTGGTTCGACCCCGCACATCTGGCCGTGCAGCCACAGGAGGACACATTTCAGCTGAACAAGTCAACGAACATGTGGACAGCATGTGTTTCGGCTCGAGCAGCAAAGCCTCCATACCGCGGCACTGCCAGCCGATCGTCTCGTTCTGCCGACGCGACAGACTCGGCCCTGCTAAGACAAGCGTTAGGGCCCATTGCAGCAATCCAAGAACATGGTCCCATCACCTTGGGCTGCAGTCGCTGCAGATGCAGGCGAGTCGAAGTACACCACCCCGTTAAAGGAAGCGCACGCGGAAGCCAGCAGGACAGTTCCCTCTCACAAACCACTACTGCACAGCGTCATGACCGGCATGCCAGGCAACCCGGAGAACAAGAGTGTGGACCACTCCCTCCACCTCACGGAGGCGAGGCAGGACAGAGGTTAACGGCACGGCATACTGATACGGAGTAGACAGGTCGAGGCAGTGCGCGAACTACCCCCGCCAAAGCCGACGATGGCACCCAAGGCGGACAGATCAGGGCTTCCATCCGGCCTAGTTTACAGGCCGAGAGTCATAGCTACTTAGATCGATCCGCCTGCTGCCAGATTTTCGCGCTGTGTGCTCTGAACGCGGCGAAAGCCAAATCGAAACCTAGACCGACACAGAAGGCAAGCCGATGCGATTGGATTTCTTCTCACGCCGATCGCAGTCACGTGTATTTTGGCCACCAAGGTACGACACGCAGGCGCGCCGACCACGAGACCCCGTCGTCCAGAGGAGGGGTGCAAGTGCTGTGTTCCGTGCCATCGTGCCTACATCGCATTCTGGCATGTAGGCACTGGCGACAGTGAGAGTGTGGCAGAAACCTGTGAACGGCCGGTACTTGCCAGTACCCGCTAAGTGGAAGTGCTGGCAAAGACCAGTCAACGGTCGGTGCATCCCTGTGCCAGTTCACTGGAAGTGCCCCGACTGTCACATTGAACAACCTGTCGACGAGTAGATCGGCGAGCACAAAAAAGCTGAAGTCTCGACGTTTGCACCACAGTGGTGGTACATGCCAATGAGCAAGCGGCTTGCACGACATGCTAGCGACCGCAGCCACCCAGTCCTCAAGCCCAAAGATACACGATCGCGCGGCATGCCAGACGACTGCAAACCTGGCAGTACGCAAGTTGTGGCAACAAACCAACGAGGCTCGGCCGCCTGTACGCACGGCAAGCCACCCCAATCATGAAGTCATAGGCCATGCCACAGCAATTCCGAGAAACTCAAGAGACACGCCAGGTGCCCTGAACGACGAAAAGCTGATCGGCCTGGCCTTTGGGGAGACCACGCATGCGTTAAAGATTCGTCCGGCGTGGCTACAACAAATACTCGCAGGCATGGCAATCGATAACGACACATCCGGAGCAGCAACTCGGCCGATGTCTCATGACTGCATGCAGGCACGAAGACGACCGAGCTTCGGAAGAAGCCATGCCCATCGTATATCGAGAGACACACGGTCAGCCTGATGGAAACAGGAACCAAGCTCATTCGCGGCACGGCCATCATCAGAGAATCGCATCGCCTTACTGTCCAAGAGAAAGCCGTCTTTGCCAATGTTTTGCAGGCAAACCGAGCTGCATCCCACGACCTGGATTTGCTGCCTGTGCCTACAGGCACTCGACTATGACGGCGACAACACCTATGCGTGGACCTTGCAGAACATCCACCAGCATCCTGAGCCCTTCCAGGCCCACCTGCACCCCAAGCCCACGCGGACGCTGCCGCATGCATGCAGGTGCCATCGTGGGCAGCGAGGGGAGCTGTGGTCTGGCTACGACGCGAGCACTGCCTGCGCATAGCTCGCATGCCTGCAGAGATGCGGAAGGAACCGGGCAAGAGCAAGCGCAAGCGCTCGACGAGTCTCACCTTTTCATGAGCAAGCACCCGTCGTAGCAGAGTAGCGGAATAACGCGTGCCCGTACCCATGCTCACGCAGTCTGCCGAGGCATCTGAACTCGAGTCTGGAACCTCCGCCGTGTCCCGCCGAGTGTGCTCAGGAGAATGTCGTAGTGCCCAACAGGTGTACAGGTCGCATTTTCGATGAACAGAACTACGCTCATACACTGTCTAGAAGGAGACTGCGGCGCCTGGATTCGACAAATGCTGACGCCGGAAGAGCTTCTGCTGCTGCTGCTGCAGCTAAAAGGATCTCTGCCCATGAGGAACCATGTCTGGGCACTCCGACTCCGAGAGGACGTGGCTGCGCTGCGGACAATCATGGTTTCTTTATCTCCCCAGCTTGAAGTAAAA